AAAGAAAATGAAGCGCTCAAATTTCAAGTGCATCCGGGCTCAATATTGGTCCCGGATGCCCCTAAAACATGTGTTTTCCCTTCCCTATGCAGTCCGTTGTAACTCGGACTGCAATGGGGTTTAATTGTTTAGCCCCATTGCCCCACAACTAGCCCTCAATTGAAAGAAAAAAAACGGCCAACTTCCAAATGTATCCGGGCTCAATTTTGACTTTGGATGCACCTAAAACATGTGTTTCTCCTCCCCCATGTAGTCCGTTGTATTTCGGTTGCATGGGGCTTTGATTTTTTTTTTTTTTTCTCTGCAAAATTAAGAGAAAATCAAAATCCTTTGCGACCGCCATATTCCAAAATGTATCTGGTCACGGATGTATCTCCCCAAGTGGCCGTTTTTTACCGTTAAGGCATTTTTCTCTTTTTTTTTTTTTTTTTTTTTTTTTTTTGGACAGTAGGGACCTACCAGTCCTTACTTTTGGCAGTCCCTACTGACAGCCAACTCACTCACTCCCTCTCACTCTTTTGTTTTTATTCTCCCACATTTTTCTTTTCTTTTCTTTCTTTTTCTAGCATGCCAAGTGTCAAGTGGCCGTTAAGGCCCTTTTCTAAGTCATTCCTCTTACTTTTGGCCATCCCTATGCCCATGGCGCAGTCCGTTACATCTCAGACTGCCATAATGGCTCCCTCATGCCCATGGGAGCCTCCTTTTTCCTTTATTTATCTCCCACAGTAGCTCCTCCTACTCCGATTTTCTCCCGGAGGCCTATTTTTCACATGGGGCCGCTTTTGACTCCATTTAATTGTCGTAGGCGGCCCCCACGTTGGGCCCTTATTTTGAAGCGTCCCACGGCCGCCGGGATCGTCCACCTCTCGGCTTCCCTACTCTCTTGTCGTTCGTCGTGCCGCATTTGCAAAGTTAATGGCCCCTTGGACTTTGTCATGCTGAATTCCAATGACCCTTCTAACCTCATGCTATGTTCGAATGTGTCCATGTCCTCGCGCTTGCTTGCCGTCACTGGTTCTTTCCCCCTACGGTTCTCAACCGAAGGCATCATTCCTTCCGGCGGCCCAGTCCTTTGTCTTTTCCCTCTCTTGCCTCCTTACTCTAGATTTCTCTGCCGTGCACAATTTGGCTATATACAGGCTCTCGAGTGGCGGGATGTTATTCGGGACCCACCAGTCCCGACACAGGTCACTTCTCCATTGGACACAATCATTCCACTGGCGGCTGAGAGCGACAACCATCTTCTCTTCATTCGTCGGATGCAAGAACTCCTTGTCAAGGCACGTGACCAAATGGCAAAGATGCAGGAACGCATGAGCCAACAGGCCAATCGCCAGCGTCTTCCCTGTCCATTCCGTGTCAGCGACCTTGTCTGGGTTTCCGCCGTGGAATTCAGCCTCGAACAAGATATCTCTCGCAAGCTCCTCCCGAAATGGATGGGGCCTTGGTCGATCGTGGCACTCGCTGGGGATGCACCTGAAGGACCTTCTTTCACCATTCAGGTGCCCGCCCCCTTGGCCGTCCGCCCGGTCTTTCATTGCTCCAAGTTGACTCTTTACACGCCAGCGGAACATGACGACTTCCCCGGGCGACGATCCCAAGACCCACCCTCGATGGACAATTTTAAGAGGTTGGCGACATCATCTCCCAGCGACGCTACGGCAACAGGCCAACCGAGTACTTGGTACACTTTGCGTACTACACCCACAAAGTTGACCGTTGGTTGACCCGTGCGGAACTCCAAGCAACAGCTCCAGATGTTCTCGCACGCTACAAACGCAAGATGCAAGGTAAGCCGGTATCTTCGGCTCCACATCGCACCCGCGTCCAGGTACGACCTTCAGATCATCAGCTTCGCCCTCGACCCGAATTGGCTTCATAAGGAGGGGGGGGTGTTACATGCTGCGCCTGCAACATGCTGCACGGGCCATTTTCAAACCCATGTTGTTTTCAGCCTGAAAGCTTGAAAACAAGGGCCTACAGGCCCTGTGTTGTTTCAGCCTGAAAGCTTGAAAACAAGGGCCTACAGGCCCTATGTCGTTTCAGCCTAAATCAGGGCCTTTCCAACCATGAATCTTTTCAGCCTGAAACTGAGGGCCATTTTCAGGCCCTCATAACATTGACCTGCCCTGAAACTCATGCACGAGACCAGGGTTTTAGCCCAGGCCATTTTTGGCCTATTTTGAAGACAACCTTCGTTTGAGCTTCAACCCCAGAGTTTGGCACGTTTTGGCATTGGCAAGAGCAGACTCCTGGACGGGCCAGCACTATATAAGACTGGCCCGCTCTGCCGGCTGCAGGTAGTTCCTAGGTACTTCCCAGACACTTCACGTGCAGTTTAGGAGGCAGGAGGTAGTCTTCAGGATTCGGCAACAGCACTCTGGAGGAGCACTGCAGTAGTAGTTGAAGCGCTAGCAGTAGTCTTCAGCGTTGGGTGATAGTAGCATTAGCAGTAGTCTTCATCGTTGGGTGCCATAGGAGCTAGAGCAGTACTAGAGAGAGAGAGAGATTGGGCAAAGGCCAGGGAGACTTACCTGCAGTGCCGTTGCTCCAGCTTCATCTTCGAGATACCTGCAGCACAGCGCCATCTTCACAGGTCAGTACTTGACACGTGAAAGAGAGAGAGAGAGAGTCCTTCCTCTTCTCAGTCCACTATCTCCTTCTCACCCTCTCGCTACCTTACTTCACTGCATCAGCGGCCTACGAGAGAGAGAGAGAGAGAGAGAGAGAGAGAGAGAGAGAGAGAGAGAGAGAGAGAGAG